TTAGAATTTTTTTGTATTACTATAAAGCTATACAATTAATAAAATTAGCTATTATATTACAGTATTATGTAATTTAGCATTTTTATTTTTTTAATAGCTGTATATAAATCAATATTTATATACAGTATTTCTATTTATTTATATATTGTAAATTTCATAGCCACTACGTTTGTCTGCTTATAACACGAATTCCAAAATGAGTCTTTAATAAAACCATCTCTATTTCCACGAATAAGTAATTTAAATTCATACTGATAATTCATTGTAGAATAAACATCGGCTTTTTTGTTAATCCACAAAGCAATTTTAGCTGCATGCTCTCGATTAATTACTGTCGAAATGAGTCTGTTGCTCTATATGGCAGATTCTGCGCTAAAATCACACGGGGCGGACAAATTGTTGTTAATATTATTTGATTGACATTTTTTCAAGAATTTGTTGGTACGGTTGAAAATGTTCAACAACATCATCACCCGACATTGAAAATAACGGATAAGAGGTAAACGATCTTTTAATATAGGTTTTAAAGTTTGAATATTCTTGAGACCAGTCATTAGTATCGAGTGGTAAACTAGGATCTTGAGCAACACCCCATTTAATAACATAATTCCAAAGGTTTACTTCTTCCATTTGCAAAGATCAACGAGGCCAATACATTTTCTTTAAGAGAGTAAAGTTTTTTGAATCAAAAACTTTATATGGGCATTTTACTATATGCTACTGCCCACTTTGTAATTGAAAAGTTTGCTATTTTGAAAGCTTTTTTCATAAGCATGGGTAAATTATAAAAGAAACCATGATGTTTTGCTTCAATTAAATGTGATCTAAAGAATTTAGTTAGCTCATCAAAAAGCAACTCATGAGTAATAAGCATCATTTCAAAAATTAATGATGCATTCAGTTCTTCCAATATAACTACTCCTCCATAAATATATTTTTTATATATAAATTAATAATTTATTGCTTAGAAATGTGGTTGATTACAAAGTGCTGTAAGTATTATAATTCTTACTTGATGTTTTCAAATTGTTTAATAGGAATATGCTTTAATTGTTCTAATATTATTTTTATTTTCACTAGTACTTCACTAGTATTTGCTAATTCATTACGAAAAAGCAAATATCGATATTTTAAAATTGTTGAATGTGTTCAGAACGTCTTGCTTGATGTTTGGAGATTCGCCAATATTTATTGATACATTAAAATCTTCATCATTAAAGTTCAAGATAGTTATTTGAAAGGTTTCAAAAAATTTACTACCATTATGTCAAAAGCTGAATTAAATATCTAAATGAAACAAGAAATTCTCAAATAAGAATCTTTACACTTCAAATATTTCTGAAAGTCTTATTGTAACACCTAGACCATTTTATTACACAAAATAAATTTTGACCGATATTATCCAATTATCATTTCAGATCAGTGTTTTAGGTCGTTTGTAAAGAGACGCCCATCAATGAATATTATATAAAATCGATAGTTTTAAATAATAAATGGGTTAAGCCGTGAAAATTATTTATCATAAACGGTTTTTGGCAATAAGCGAATGTATTTTGCTTGAAAATTTTAATTTCAGCGAAAATTGAAACGATGTTACCAAATTTAATTTAGGACATTTGTTGCAAATATTAATTATATATTAGTACGATGGATAGTGTAAAGCGCCACTTTTTTCTTTAGCATCATTTTTTTTAATCTTATTAATGGTTTGATAAAAAGTAGACCGATCCATTGACTACTCAGTATCATTAGAAGAAATTACTCCATATTAATACTTATATAAATACTTATACATAAAAAAAACAAAAAAACTGTTTAAAAATTTTCATCAGTACTAACAAAAAAGAAGCTAGTAAATTCCAAGTAGCCTAAGAAATTGAGAAGACTCAAATAACTTTGGATATTGATGCAACTAACTATATGACCAAAACTTGTCCACCATGCATACGGTTTTGAGAGGATATAATGTAATCCAAAAATATAAGTGAATTAATTGTAACAAGTGTTGTCTATCGTGGGATGAATACCTAAATTTGAAAATATAAATGTCAAAATCTATATCCATATTTATGACAATTATTTAAAAAAAGTACCTACTTTTTGAAATTACTAGTTTGTCGTTTTGGCAAGTTTCAGATAATTGCAATGACTCACCTAAGGAGGGAATTTTAAAAGCTAAAATCAGATATATTCTAACTGATTGTAAAATCATTTAGCAGAATTATTTAACACATACTAGTATGATTATTTTCGTTCTTCAAGCTCTGATTTTTATTCATGAATGTTAAACGTTCCACTATCGTATTAATTACGGGTCTATTTTGAGGTTCACCATTCCAGCAATCAACATAAAGGTTACGATAATCGTCCGGAGTGTCCTGAATTGGTATTTCTCTTTTACCATCAATTATTTCTAGACGAATCACCGTTGGATCAAGTCCGTAAAAAGGGCATCGACCGCTAGAAATTTCCCACATCAAAACACCAAACGAGTATATATCTGATCGTTTATCATAAGGATAGTTTATATCTTGTAATATCTTAGGTTCAATATATGGCAACCGTCCAAAAGTTCCAACAGGAATCGTAGTCTCAGAGTCAATTTGACGGGATATTCCAAAATCAGACAGTTTTGCATGTCCTTCATGAATAAGAATGTTTCTAGAATGCTATCATAAATATTATGTTTAATGATTTAATATAATTTATATTTAAGAGGAATAGAAAAAATGTATTTCATACAAGATCCCTATGCATAATGTTTTCTCTATGTAAAAAATCTAACCCTTCGACAATTTCTAATGCAAGTCGGAATTTGTCTGGCCATTTTAGTCTATTAAAATTATGCCGAAGAAAGTTTACCAAGTCACCGCCGTCAGCGTATTGCATAACTATAAAAAAGCCATCTGTAGCTATTTTTAAAAAAAAATTTATAAATGTAAATAATGTATTATTTTCTATTTGTAGCAATTTATAATAATTTAAATTTACATTGTGTTACTCCAAACATTCTCACAATTCGGTCTATTAGGTTAAGTCGAAAATGTATCTTCAATTCGTGAATAAATGCTTTATGTTCATTGTAATTAATCGCTGAAATATTTTTAATTTTCTTCAAAGCAATATACTTGTTTGTTCGTCTCCATAAAGCTTTTTCAACCGAACCAAAACCACCTACTCCGATAGATTTTTGATCAGTGAATTGATTAAAATCAATGATGTCAACACCGAGTTCATGGATGGTCGATAAAAGAGACCCTGAAGAAATATCTTCGTTTACCAGAGCTATTACATCCGAATCAGTTTTCAAATATTTATTTAATTTCGTGCTGGATGCTTGACGAAACTCATCTGCTATTCGAAATTCTGTAACAATCGGTGTATCAATATTTCGTTCCACTTCAAGATACCATTCACCAAACGTATTAACAATTTGCATTATTGATGGACGTAATTTTGGATCATTGTTCAGACACTGATTCATTAATACAACATAAGATTTTGGTGCACCTTTAGGTGCAAGATCTAAGTCTGATGACTTATGAATTTCTTTAACAAATGGTGACGAGAGATGATACATTAGTAAACCAAAAGAGTATATATTACTTTCTTCTGTGAAAATCCAATTTTTGAATGACTCTGGAGCTGTATAACGTGGAGAATAGAATTTAAAATTTTCAGGTTCTTGATTGCTTTTATCAACCACGCAAATAAAACTTCCTAATGCAATAGTCTGATTATTCTTCACACAAAATGTACTCCCTGCTAATGCTGTTGAAACAAATCCAGAATTGAAAAGAGATTGTAAGTCTTTAGAAATTTGCCACAAGAAATTGAGCCTAGTTTTCCAGTTTAGATTACTGCAGTTTAATCGTAAATATTCAAGAAGTGTCCCTTGTTCAGCATATTCACTGACTGATATGAGTGTATTTGTTTCTGGTTCTTGTGATATCCCATACCAATCGATTCCTGCAACAAAATTATTATTTAGGCAACGAAGGAATTTTTTATGCTATTTATAAAAAAACAAATTGTTAAAGTTAATTAATTGAAAGATGGGAGCTTTTAAAAGTGGATCTGACTTATTTCACCGACATTCATTTCGTAGACACAACACTTCACTGACAATCAATTCACCGACTATTAATTCACCGATGCTCAATTCACCGACACTCAATTCGTGAATTGAATGTCGGTGAATTGAGTGTCGTGAATTGAGTGTTAATGAATTGGGTGTCGGTGAAAAGTGTCGGTGAAAAGCGTCGGTGAAATGAATATGTTGGTGAATTGACTGTCAGTAAAGTGTTGTGTATAGGAAATGAATGTCGGTGAAATAAGCAGGCCGTTTAAAAATAACCTGATCTATTAATTCTTTTATTGTCGTTTCGAGATGATGGACAACCAAAAACACATGATGATTACTTGATCTGAAATACTCTTGCGTTGTTTCGTCCCATAAAATTCTTGGACCGGAAGACCAATAAGCACTATAATACTTTGCTATTCCATCATTTATTAATTTAAGGGATGATAATTCACTGTATGGAATCCATTCAAATACACCCTTTGGTGAAGTTGACGTAAGCTGAGTTTCTTGTATAAACCGATCTATTTTTATATTTCCACTGGTCCAATTGCCAAAATTTTCACGAAATTGCTTTGTTTCACACGGTTGGCACCAACGATAATGAGTTCTTGGTTTATTGCAATTTGGACAGATACCATAAGGAGCAATTCTTTAATTATTCGGTTATATATTAAAAAGAAATGGAGTATTTTAATAATAACTCACGTAAAGTTTAGATTCATATAAAAATAAAAATGATGAATCTTATACGTACTGAGATTCTGAACTATTCGCACAAAAATTAATTTAGATTATAATAAATATCGGTAATACTGTAAATAACAAAGTTTATACTCATTCTCTGGCAATTTAAAAAACAGATCATATAGTATATAATTAATTAGTAATTTATTAAATCTGTAGTAACATCTAGCAATCAATTTATTAAATAATTACTCAAACATTACGGTACTATCTAAAACTTAGCACAATAAGGCTCTATTATCTCGAAATTTTCAGAACAAATAATACAACATAAATTTAAACTATATATTATTTTTATACTTTAGAAAGTTGAAAAGCTAATTTTAACTAAAAATTAAAATTTCAAAAATTATTATATAATTATAAGAATTTTGACTTAACAAAATGATTATTGGTAATTAAAATTTAAAATTTTAATATAACGAATAAAAAATTTTCAGTAAGTTTAAAACTTAATTTCTCAATAAACTGTATTATTAATTAGAAATTTTGTCTCAAATTTGTATTATTATATATGTTCGTTGAGTGATAAATCAGGTGGGATGACTTTCTTGCAACATGTTTACGTTGTGGGAGGACGGACAATGTCATTGAGTAAAATCATACGATATCTTTTCAATAATATTTACACATGTACATGTCGTGACTAAAGTTAGGATCCGACTAAAGTTGCACCTGACTGAAATTAGCCCCTGAAATTAGATCATCCTGCACGCATTAGTTAGCAGTTTTTAGGCAGGTGCCAACTTCAGTCAACTGAAGTTCCAACTTTAGTCGGATGCCAACTTCAGTCACGACATACATAAACTAATAACGATAATAAACTAATTGCAAAAAGTATTTTTGACTAATAAATGACGTATATTGGACAAAGGGCGTACTCAAGCACCTTCATCAATGAACTCAATCAAACAATCTGATTGGTCTGCCTGATCAAACTGTCCAATCAAATTCTTCATCTAATTCATTGATAGAGGAGTTATAATACGTACGTACGTACGTGCGGGTTTACTAATTTTCTCCACCATTTCATTATCGGGGTACGTACCATATTCTCCGATATATGAATAATTAGTAGAACCAATCAGAAGTGGTATGGAAAATTAGTAAACCCGTATGCACAGTCACACATGCAATTTTAGTCATGTGTCACACAAAACAGTCCAATGTCTAAACAAATCAAAAAGTAAATTATACCGAAAATGACGCAAATACGTAAAGTTAGAACTTCAAGATTGGTAGTGTAACACCTTAAAATTCAAATTTTTATATTTTTGTAAATAAAGCCTTTATTTTTGTCGGTAAATCACCCGCATGTACATAAGTTATTAGTAATTCCCCATGTCCAATTTTGATAAATTTATTAGACATTTTATAACTTATTGTTATACTAAAACAGTAATGATGAGTGAGTGACTTGGTGGCTTAATCATATGAGTGTTACTCAAGGCGCGTAAAATGCAGTGGATACATAAACATGGATACGTATCATTTCACCGACAATCACTTCACCGACAACTTAGTTCACCGACAATTAACTCACCGACAAGTT